CAGGCTAAAAGGAGCCATACTTCCCTTGACTAAGTTAGTACTGCTAGCATTAGACCTATTTAAAAAAGGCGAGGGGTGGGGGGGGGAGAATATAGTGTGTGAAACCTCAGTTTTATTGCTCCATGCTCATAAAGCTATAAAGTTATCAAACCCCCTCAACTTAATGGAATGCAATTGGGAAATCAATGAATGTTACAAAGTTTTTATTCAAAAAGATAACAGACCTTTTCTGCAAGCACTCTGACATATGCCTATGCAGAATCTCTTTCACAGTTGAAAAGACATTTCTTCTGAGTCTACATCCTTCAAGAACTGCTACCAAACCAATTTAGATTTTCAATCACTCCAGTTTTTTAAGGTGAGAAATGTTAATCAAGACTCTAAATGTTCTGGTATTTTCATTTAGAATTGCATCACTTCTTCAGTTTCTCAAACTCTTAAATATCTATACCAAAAAACTCAAACATATAAAATTATGTTCAACTGTTCACTAATGAAAGAAACAAAGCGTTTGATTCTGTCCCCTAACTTCACACTGAACAGTGCCTTATTCTGCAAGCAGTCATTTGTTGAAATTAATGACAGTACTCAATATAACCTAGGATGGCAGCACTGAGTCTTTGGTCTGTTAGATAAAATCCCTTTAGTATAGGATTATCCATCTTAGAAAGATAATGTAACACTGAAATAACTTGTGCAAAGCACTTTGAGATCCTCAAATGAAAAACCCTACAAAGAGATGCTAGTGACTAAGTTTATCAATAAATTGTGAGTTATCAGAAACAAAGTGGTTCCATCTCAGAGTTAGAAATGAACTGCTAGATTTGTTTAAGAACCCAGATTTCCCTCCTCCTCCACATGACCAACCAATTACTTGACATATATGAATGAGTTAACCTAGCTGTTTTGTTCTACCTTTCATATTTTGTTACCATTTCCCGTTCTTACCAGCATTTAAGCCTTTCAATCTCCAAAGAAATCTTCATTGCCTGAAGAAAACTCCAACTATCAAATTGATGGTTTCACCTACTAGGCAAGATAATTTATTGAACCAAAGTCCACGAGGTTTCAAAAAGTAGCAAAAGCCTGAAAGTACACTATTTCCATTCTCCTGCCCATCCACTTTCCTGCCATTTTGTTAACGCTTTCTCTTAGCTAAGAACTGCTCAAAAAGCCCGTATAAGAGTACGTAACTGAAATAGGGATTGTGACTAAACATTAACCTTATAGCAATGTACTTCCTCCTTAGCAGTTATAAAGGGATACGTACAATTACTATTAGTTCAATATCAGTGTGTTCCGTGTGTTCCGCACCGTAAAGAACAAAGAATCTCTACCCTAAATCTATAAACTGAGACAAACGTAGACGCAAACACAGAGCACTAAATGACAACATGGTGGAGTCTATTTAGGAATTCAGTAGTTATGTTTTAGCTTTCCATTTAGTGAACCACAGCACACTGACAGCATTAAAACAAAGGGCCTGGCAAAAGTGCCTTTTAAATACAATAGGATTGGGATTTACTGCACCAGCATAAGGAGGACAAACCAGGCATGAATGCCATGCTGAAAAAAAAAAAAAAAAAAAAATTACGATAAGAGTAGGGAAAAATTACAAAAGGAGTGATAAAAGTAAGGTATTGGCAAAGTAAAGGAGTTTTGGTTGTTCTGTATCTGTGTAATCAAATTGAACTGAAATTTTTTTTTAAAAAATACTGTTGCTAGAAATTTTTTTTTTTTTTATTAAAGTGAACCAACAAGCTCTAAAATCACACAAACAACTTTGCATGAAGTTGGGTGAACATTAGAGCAAACTTGACAAACAGATTAAAAAAAGAAAGAAAAACATAAGTTTCTATCTTCATTTTGCTAGGACAGGAGTGTGCTATCATGTGAGGTTTTCCTATCACCAGCCTTCACCTTCTATTGGATCCTGTCATGAAGATATAATTTTGCATTTAGGCCATCTGATATAATTAAAGATGATATGTATTAAGTCTGAGCAGATGGGTGACACATACCCAAGTTTCCCCCCCCATTACCGTATTTAAGTAGCCCACTGAACTACAACTCACACTATAATCCTAATGACACTGGGTTTTATTTTACTACCACAAAAAAAATACCAAGAAAAGTTTGGTTTTTTTAAACACTTGGTGTTTTCTGTAACCAAAGCTATAACTTTGTGGGGGGAAGCAAACAGCCCCACACACACCCTTCAAAAGAAAATCTTTCACTTGAAAGAATATTTTTCACCTAACACCAACAGATCAGGATGATTTGCAATTTACTTTTAAAGCAACCTAAGTCAGGGGGCTACAAGGTTATGGAGACAATTCTTTGCAATGCAGAAGACAGTCTTCATATAAAGTATATATCAGATATTTAATTCATACTCAATCTTGGTCTCAGACACACAAAAATGCTCAGTGAATTCAAGCCTATCATCTCAGTTATCGAGGTGTGTTTTCATGGCTCACCCATTGGGAAGATCAATGCAAAGAGAGTAAAGAATCTGCTATGCCATTTAAAGACTGTTTGTTTTACCTGTCTCCCTGACAAGCAAGATCTCAGTGTGGACAATAAAAATGAACACCTCCCCCCGATCCCTAAATATTCACCAACAAGCAGTCGACTACCAAAAAAAAAAAAAATCTATTCAGAGATCGATCAATAGGATAGCTTATATAATAAATAAGGAAGGGGACAGAAGGGCGGCCAGAGTCATTCTCTATTATCTCATACATTCACCAAGCGGCTGAACAAATCCCCTTCCCGCACCTAGGAGCTGTCTCCAGTCACAGGTATCCATCCAGCAGCAGCCCAGCGTGGCTGGGCATCGATAGGCTCCCCCGCAGGCCGAGATAGGGTGTTAAAGCGGGGGCGGCTCTCTGGTGCTCTCCCCCCGTGTGGGGATGTCAGCGCGAAGAAGTTTGAAAGGCACCCAGACTTGCCTCCCCCTGGGCCCTCGGGGAGTCACATGACACAGGGGAACTGCACGAGAGCCTCAGGACAGGCTGGGGGGGGGGGAAGTGAGGGAGTGAGGGGAGAACTGCCGTCGCCATGACAACTTCCAAGGGGGGAGGGAAAACTTCAAATCCCAACCGTCAGTGCAGGAGCTGCTCTTTCTTAAAGGCGCAAACACACCCGGATCCCATTCTTCTCCCCCCCCCCCCCCCCCCCCGGGGGGGGGGGGGGGGGGCAGCCGGCGCTCCTCGCACAAGCGAGAAGACGCGCCTAGACAAAAGGACCCGAACCGAGAAAGGGCCAGCCTGTCTTTCCCATCCCGCCGAGCTCGGCCCCAACGGGACTCGCTACCGCTCTCCTCCCGCGCCGCGCGGAGAAACCCGGGGCTGCAAACCTTTCCCCATCTCCTGGGCAGAGATCCTGGGGCGCCGCTTCCGCCCGCCGGGAAAGACTCCTGAGCCGCTCCTCCACCAGCGTTACCCTCCCCCCGGCAGAGACCCGAGCTCGGTCCCCGACCCCGCTCTCCCGCGGCAGAGGAGTCTCCCCTCTCTTACCCACACAGTGCATGAGGCGGTGCCGCCAGGAGTCGAGTTCTCGGCGGACTCCCCTGCGCTCCGCCGTACAGCGAGGGCTCCGGCACTGAGGGGAGGAGGCAGCGGCAGGAGGAGCGGGAGCCGCGGCGGCCATTCTGTCTGTTTCCTTTTCCATCTGCCTCTGACCTCACGCCCGCTCATTTACATACGAGCGCGCGCGCCACCAGAAGAGCGCGTTCCCGCGCCTCCCCCTCAGCGGCATCCGGGAGGGGGAGCGCGCACCGCCTGGCGGGTATGGGATGGTGATTGACACGTGTCCCCTCCTCTGTCCAGACGAAGTGGGGAGGCGGATCGAAGCCTCCTCACACCAAGTAGCAGTCAAGGCTCCTCCCACCCCTCTCGGTGGGGCCGGGCGGGGCCGAAGAAGCGTCTGGACCAGTTGTGGATGTGTCCAAACTTTGTCCAAATTGTTGGGCTGCTTTGGCAACTGGATGTAAAATGGGCCCCCTGGCTGCCCCTGGACTACGAATCCCAGAAGGCACCACGCCACCTGCCCGAGCCCTACGCAGAGAGCCAGCAGCATTGCCCCTCGGGAGCGGTAGTCAGTATCTCAGCCCTTCCCCTTCTCCACCTGTAGAGGGTTGGGTCGGACTCGCGTGGGGTTGCTACCCGGCCCTGGAGCCACCATGTGAGGTTGGCTGCTACCAAGGTAACAGTGAGAGTTAATAATGGGGTCTGATACCATGATAATGGGCATCTGACAAGTGCCTCACACAGCTGCATCCAGCCCTATCCCCCAGCACCAAGAGAGTGTGAGCTGGCATCCTTCCCTGCCCTATCACCATTGCTGGGAGAAAGTAAGGCCAGATTAAGGTAATCCCAGACTCTGGATACAGGACCTTCCCACAGCTCTGCCTTGGCTTGTTTGGGAAGATGGTGTAAGGGAGAGGGCTCCCAGAGAGAGTGTGTCATGGAGTAATCTCCCCCCACAACCCAGAAAAATTAGGGGGCTTCGTTTCCACCTCCATCCTGGGAGAAGCAGGAGAAGCAATTGGAGGACTCTACTACTTACTGTAGCCACTGAGCTATATCTGGTTGGATGGGTGGACCAAACCCACTGCACTCCTGCCACACAGAGATCACAGTTGGCGTGTTGGTGAGGCCCTCCAGTACAATGGGTCTTGTAGTTAATGCCTCGTTGATATACATGGAACAGTTTACATCTCCCAGAGCTCTTGTTTCAGGCTCTATGCAGATTCAGGTAGTCATCACAGCATCAGTTACACTCTGGTCTCATTTTCATGCATTGCTTTGCAACCATGAGGGCTAGAAACTTACTTTTTTAAATGAGAGCTGAGATTTTTGACATAATTGCGACTCTGGGAGCTAAGAGTTTAGTCATGGAGCTATACTTCCACCCACCCCTATGTTACCTATGCCTTAATCTAGCCCTGGGAGAGAAGGAAATGTCTCTCTTCCCACACAACTACACCTGTCTTATCCACTGCACCATGAGAGTGAGAGAGAGAACTGTCACCATTCCCCTACAACCGCCTCTTAACCTGTCACAGCACTGGGAGAGAGTGAACTATCACCCTTACCCCAATGCCAATCCTGACATAGCACCATGAGAGGAAGAAGCATCATAATTCTATCTCTCACTGACTTGCCCAAAATCACACATCTAGGTAGCATGCAGTGCAGTTCTAGCCATGAAGAAGAGCTATGTATGGCTCGAAAGCATGTCTTGCTCATCAACAGAAGTTGGTCCAATAAAAGATATTCCCTCATGCACCCCATCACTTCTAGCTAGTGACACAGCTGGGGGTTTTCAAGAGTTTCCAGGCTACTGATCAGTCTTCTACAACACATTTCCTTAAATGGCAGCCTCGGCCTTTTGACTTACTAATTTTTTATGCAGCCCAGGTCCTGGGGCCAAAAGTGGAAATGATTAGAACAAGGAGGAAGATTTAAAATAAGATTGTATGGATCAGTGAAATACAGCAAAATTATTCATTCCCCACAATTTGAGAGTATGACTTTAATACATGGGCAGTGGGTATCGAAGGCCGGGGTGAGGATGAGCCTCCCCAAACAGCCCGGAATGGCCCCACCCATGCTCTGCCCCCAGGCTCCCTCCTGCCTGCTTCCAGTTCCCGCTCTTTCGCTGGGGTGGGCGGCCAGCCTGCGGCTGGGGCCGTACCACCCAGCACTCCAGGGCTGGAGCCGTGCCACCCACACCTCCACCCGGCGCTCTGGGGCTGGTGGCAGCTTGGACTGTGCTGCCCGCCTCCTCCCCCTGCCCAGTGCTCCAGGGTTGGGGCCGCGCTGCCCACCTGGTGCTCTGAGTTTAGGAGAGCTGGGGCAGCCCAGGGCTGGGGGCCGGCGGCTGTGGTGAGAGTGCTCTGGGCTCCAGTCTGGAAGGAGTGCAGCCTCGGGCAGAATGGGAGGGGCTGGGGACTAGCCTCCCCCAACTGGCAGTTCACGCACTGCCCATTCTTCAATACTAATCCCCAAAGAGGGAGTGAAAATTAGCAGCAGTATTATATTACACCATCTGTAGTACTTGAAAGATCTCCATCAATTTAAGAGTTAAATTTTTTGACTACTCTGTTAGAAGTAACAACTAAGATTATCACTGCAAGAAAGTAGAGAAAAATAATTTTTATTTAGTTTGCTTACTTTGCATTTGATACCACTTGGATATAGTCAATTTCACTGTTTTGTATTAATAGTTTCACTTCCTTCTTCTGAATCAATGTGAAGACTCACTCAGCACTGTCTTAGAGGAGCTCATAGGAACATTGCTCTCCATGCCCTGCAAAAGGGTGATTAACAGTCTTGAGTTTAATAGCCAGGAAGTGAAGCAAGGGTGGAGGAAGTCAGAGAGAGCCCTCAGTTCACTTCTCAGACCCTGGTACAGGGCTGGGAACCACTTCTTTTTATTCCTTAGACCCCTCTATAGATTGTGGGGCACCTAACAAGTGACAAATGCCCCTCTGTGAGTTTTCCAGGATCTTCCTGGCAGTGGAGAAGGGCCTCGTGGTGGGGGGCCCCTACATTCCCCTCGAGCCGCTGGAGGACCTGGGTGCATGGGTGGTCACCTCCATCCCGCCTTTCCTCCTCAGTGCTATTCTTTTGCCCCTGGAGCCAGCTGAGGAAGCTGTGGCAACTGAGGAGTCCCTTCCAGATAAGGCCTCGGAGGGAAGCTCTCCCCCCCGCTCCTTTGTCATCTTCCACACACACCCCCATCAGCACCAAGGTGGACATCGCCTCGGTTGCTGACGGGGAGGATCCCGTGGTTGCAGGTGGGGACTTCTGCTATATCTTCAAGGAGATCAAGGCCCTGGGTCTGCCCAGCTGCAGATGTCCGCCCACTTGAGGCTGCTTAGCCCATTGTGGCTATGGTTGGTGCTGAGCGGTTGGGCCCTAAGCCTTTGGTTGCGCCCCTTTCTGAGGTGGGGTGGCTACCCCCCCTGCAACCTGGGGCTCCAGACCAGGACACTTTCCTGTCCAATGCTGTGGCTGCGGGCGCCAAGCCCACCACGGCGCTCAAGCCCGGCATCGTTGAGGGCCCTCTTCCTACATCCATCCCTTTGACCCCCATGCCCAGATAAGTGATGCACACCCTGGTGGCCTAGCTGCCAAGGCCCCTAGTCCCAATTCCATTCCTGCCCCTGGCCCCGATCCCACCTCCACCCCTTCCATTTCCCATGCTACTGCTGCCCCTGGGGTTGTCCTGTTTCCCTTCTCTGTTGATAACCCTCAGGAGGCAGTTTTTCTATTTCCCTCTCCCAGCCCACCCAGGGGGAGGCTGCATAGGGCACCAAAATGGCTAGGGATGGCCCTGGGTAGGGGGACTGGGAGGCAGGATGCCGGGGCCTACCAGTGGGCCCACAAGTTCCGTGACTCCCTGGTCACTTTCAGAGTTGATCAAGGGTTGCTGCAGGACCCAACGGGGGCTGGCAGCACTCCTGCCCACAAGGATCCTCCCCTGTCCCCACAATGAAGCCAACCATCTTCATCACCTTGAACACCCCGGGCTGTAGGGTCTCCACAGGTGCCACGTGCTCTCCTTCCTTCAGGAGAGGGAGTACTCTGTGATCTTCCTGCAGAAGACTCACACAGACCCAGCCGCCAAAGTCAACTGGCAGCTGGAGTGGGGGTGTACTTCAGCCACCTCACTGCTTTTGCAGGTGGAGTGGCCATCCTGTTCTCCCCCAACCTATGGCCCGAGGTGCTGGGGGTCACCAAGGTCATGCCAGGTCACCTGCTGCACCTCTGGGCCTGTGTGGAGAGGCTGATACTGAACCTTGTCAATGTCTATGTCAGGGGTAGGCAACCTATGGCATGCGTGCCAAAGGCGGCACGCGAGCTGATTTTCAGTGGCACTCACATTGCCAGGGTCCTGGCCACCGGTCCGGGGGGCTCTGCATTTTAATTTAATTTTAAATGAAGTGTTTAGTATTCTTAAACATTTTAAAAACCTTATTTACTTTACATACAACAGTTTAGTTATATATTATAGACTTATAGAAACAGACCTTCTAAAAACGTTAAAATGTATTAGTGGCACGTGAAACCTTAAATTAGAGTGAATAAATGAAGACTCGGCACACCACTTCTGAAAGGTTGCCGACCCCTGGTCTATGCCCTGATACCGGGCCCAGAGCAAATGCGCTTCTTTCACCTGGAGTCCACCTTCCTTGGCTTCTTGAATCCTCATATGTGCCTTGTCCTGGTTGGGATTTCAACACCACTCTAGACAAGTGGGACTGCTCAGGGACCAAGAGGTGCCCAGCTGCCGCAGACATCCTCCGGGAAATCATAGACCATCACTTTCTGGTGGACATTTGGCGTGACCACCATCCAGATGACGATTCCACCTACACTTATGTCTGGAGGGAGGATGCTTGGTTGTGCCACTCCTGGTTGGACTGCATTTATTTACCTTGCGTCCATCTTTTGTGGGCTGGCTTATTGGCATTTTAATAATAGCTTGCTAGAGGATGTGGGCTTTATGGTATCCTTCTAGGAGTTTTGGCTGGCCTGGTGTGGGCAAAGGCACGTCTTTCCCTTGGTGCAGCGATGGTAGTATGTGGGGAAGGTTCACGCCTGGCTTTTCTGCTATGACTACATCTGGGGGGCCAGCTGACAGAGGGATGTGGTAATAGA